AAAAGTTCCCTAAGTGTTTAGAAAATCCCAAACCGCTAGATGTTACCTCAAGAAGCCTCTCCCTAGGAAGTTCTTAAAAGAAAAGTGAGCAAAGCTCCTCAGTTTCAAAGGCGAAATGCCAAAAAGGGTAGTTAGGATTTTGTTCTAAAAAGCTCTAAGTGTTGAACTCGATCGAGTTAGGATTAGGCGGCTCGAGCTGCTGTTCTTGCATCATCTTTGGTTCTAACACTTAGCCTTCTGCCAAAGCAAAGCCACTTTCTTGAGAGATCCCTGTTACTAAACCACCATACAAAAGAGACCCTCTTTGTCTCTTAACCCATAAACCCTTGAAACCAAATGAGTTGATTGATCTTGCATGTTTTTGGTTCACTGTTTTTGCTTAATGAATGTTAAAGGGATTTGCTGATTTGAATGCATTGTTTGAGTGACTGTGAAGTGGGATTGATGTTGATAAGCATGGTTAAATCTTAATGAATATCTCTCACCTTGTTGCATTCTAGAATCTCTAAGTTGGACATTTAGCAAATCGCTTTTGAGGACATGTTTTTAAGTGTTGAATCAGCTATTTTCAAACCTCATCTCTTTCTTGTTCTATTTGTTTGCTTGAGGGCAAGCAAAGTTCAAGTTTGGGGGTGTTGATGTACTTGCATTTTACATAGTTTTAGCACATCTTTTATGCATCTTTTGCATAGTTTTAGCTTCCATTTGCATCATATCTTGTTCCTTTTCTCTTCTTATGCATTCATGTTAGTTTTAGGTTGCATTTGCATACATATGCATGTTTGGTCCTTTGAAATAGGTCTTTTGGAGCATTCTGGAGCATATGGGACATGAGGAGCATGGAGGGACTTGGCACATGGAAGCAGCTCAACTGGATACGCAAAGGAAGAAGGGAGAAGCCATCTTGAAGACCAGCTCGACCGTCTACTCGACCAACCGGTCGAGTTCCTCAACTCGACCGGCCAAGCTTCAACTCGATCGAGCTGGAAGTCAAAGTCAAACCCGAAAAATGTTGCTTCCCCCTTGACTTTCCTTTGACCCTAAACCTAATCCTCTTGTATTTAAAGGCTCTAAGCCACGAAAAAACCACCAAGCTTTAGATTATTTTGTTTTAGTTTCTTTTAATTTATTGTCTTTTACTTTTTAGAGATCTAATCCCATCTTTGTGTTCTTGAAGCTCTTGCTTCTTGAATCCTAGATCCTGGATAATCTCTTTGTATTTGCACTTGCTTATTTCAATAAAAGTTGTTTAATTTCATCTCCTCTTTCTTATGATGTCTCTTTTATTGCATTTGCTTGTGTTTACATTCATGTGTAGTGAGTAGTTACCCATTAGGGTTTGAGATGGGATAGATTAGAGGTTTCATATGCTTAATCCTTCTAGCTTATGGTCTTAATCTAGATTCTCTCTCTTTTGGATAGATCTTAAGGCTACATGACCACTACCCCTGGCTTGTAAGTCCTTAGGCGACTCCCCACACGAAGTGATGGCATTCGCTGGAAAAGATCCACTAAGAGCTCCAATATCTCTTGCTCTAGACAATAGAGGTCTAAGGGGTTGGATGGATTAGTTTGGGCAATGATCCTATAGCCTCCAAGGTTTGATTCTCACTGGCTAACCCCCTGTTTCTGAGATCATTCCTTGGTTGATAGCCTCCACCTTGGGAAAGGGTTGGCTAGGCATTGAGAAGCCCAATATCAAGAGAAGCCTTGATACAAGGAGTTTTAAGAGCTAGATTGATTAAGTGTAGATTCCTTTGATTGCAAAACCCTGTCTTGAACCCTAATTCTCTCTTTATCTTGTTAAAGTCGTCACCTTTAGCTTTGTTTGTCTCAACTCGTCCCTAAACTCGATCGAGCTGGTACTTTGCTCTGACTCGACTCGAGTCTTGGTCGAGCTGACACTTCACTGCTTTGTTTACTTTTATTGCACTGCTTTTCTTTTTTAGGTTGTTAGTGTTACTTCAAATCTTAACTGCTTGCTTGACTTCCTGGTTGTTTCATATTCTCATAGAGTGACAAGTTTCCCATTTTGGATTGATAACCTCTTATACTTCAATGACTATGATGGTTAAGAGGAATTGATTGATTGTGTTTGCATCTTACCACTCATCTTCATTACCCTGTTTGCATTCCACCTCATTTCATATCATATCACATCCACAAAATCCTATCATCATCCACTCATCTACACTTTTCATATCTCTTGATAATCTCAACACACAAATCCTATCATCCAAGGAATGATCTCAGAAACAGGGGGTTAGCCAGTGAGAATCAAGCCTTGGAGGCATAGGATCATTGCTCAAACTAATCCATCCAACCCCTATGAACTCCATTTCGAGAGCAAGAGTTTATTGGAGCTCTTAGTGGACCTTTTCCAAGCGATTTCCATCACTTCCATGTGGAAATCGCCTAAGGACATACAAGCCAGGGGTAGTGGTCATGTAGCCTTAAGATTATCCAAAAGAGAGAGATTTCTAGATTAAGAACATAAGCAAGAAGGATTAAGCATAGAAATCCCTCTAATCTATCCCATCTCAAACCCTAATGGGTAACTACTCACTACACATGAATGTAAACACAAGCAAATGCAATAAAAGAGACATCATAAGAAAGAGGAGATGAAATAAACAACTTTTATTGAAATAAGCAAGTGCAAATACAAAGAAGATATCCAGGATCTAGGATTCAAGAAGCAAGAGCTTCAAGAACACAAAGATGGATTAGGTTGCTAAAAAGTAAAAGACAATAAATTAAAGAAACTAAAACAAAAGTAATCTAAAGCTTGGTGGTTTTTTCGTGGCTTTTAGAGCCTTTAAATACAAAGAGGATTAGGTTTAGGGTCAAAGGAAGTCAAGGGGGAAGCAACATTTTTCGGGTTTGACTTTGACTTCTCAGCTCGATCGAGTTGAAGCTTGGCCGGTCGAGTGGATGGTCGAGCTGGTCTTCAAGATGGCTTCCTCCTTCTTCCTTTGCGTATCCAGTTGAGCTGCGTCCATGCCAAGTCCTTCCATGCTCCTCACGTCCCATATGCTCCAAATGCTCCAAAAGACCTATTTCAAAGGACCAAACATGCATATGTATGCAAATGCAACCTAAAACTACTATGAATGCATAAGAAGAGAAAAGGAACAAGATATGATGCTAATGGATGCTAAAACTATGCAAAAGATGCATAAAAGATGTACTAAAACTATGTAAAATGCAAGTACATCAACACCCCCAAACTTGAACTTTGCTTGCCCTCAAGCAAACAAATAGAACAAGAAAGAGATGAGGTTTACTGATTCAACACTTAAAAACATGTCCTCAAAAATTTGCTAAATGTCCAACTTAGAGATTCTAGAATGCAACAAGGTGAGAGATATTCATTAAGATTTAACCATGCTTATCAACATCAATCCCACTTCACAGTCACTCAAACAATGCATTCAAATCAGCAAATCCCTTTAACATTAAGCAAAAACAGTGAACCAAAAACATGCAAGATCAATCAACTCATTTGGTTTCAAGGGTTTATGGGTTAAGAGACAAAGAGGGTCTCTTTTGTATGGTGGTTTAGTAACAGGGATCTCTCAAGAAAGTGGCTTTGCTTTGGCAGAAGGCTAAGTGTTAGAACCAAAGATGATGCAAGAACAGCAGCTCGAGCCGCCTAATCCTAACTCGATCGAGTTCAACACTTAGAGCTTTTTAGAACAAAATCCTAACTACCCTTTTTGGCATTTCGCCTTTGAAACTGAGGAGCTTTGCTCACTTTTCTTTTAAGAACATCCTAGGGAGAGGCTTCTTGAGGTAACATCTAGCGGTTTGGGATTTTCTAAACACTTAGGGAACTTTTCTTTCTTTTTGACACTTGAGGCTTTGCCTTCTTTTCTTTCTACTTAGAACCCTTTTTTTTTTTTTTTAACTTCCCAAACCTTTACTAGACCCTTTTTAACACTGCCAACTCCCTGGACTTAACTAAACTCTTTTTCCTTTGGATTTTCCCAATTTTTACCACTTTTCTGGTTTTTGACACCCAACTCGATCGAGCTCGAGTTGGCACCCCCAAACTTAGCCTGAAAACAATCCCAAGAGAACTAGACAACTAGAACTACTGCCCCTGCCGGTTTAAACACAACACCTTATGCTAAGCAAAGCCAAGAAAGGTTCTCACATTCGCACAAGAGATATATGGGGTTTGAAATGAAAAAGGCTTAGGTTTAAGGTGTGGTAACTGTCTCAAAGATGGAGATCAGCTATCTGGACAAGCAAGGGATATGAAATAGGTAAAGAATGTCCAGATATGTATGTGGTAGCCATGAGTTGAAATCAAATGCAAGCATTGGTAATTAAAGATCAAGTTATGGTTCAAATAGATAGGGAAATGCATCAAATCACAGCAATGGTTGAATGAGATGTGCATGCAGTGATATGATCAAGATAAACATGGTTCTTGCTGCTCAATCAATCTCACCCTAATGCACAAAAGAATCTAGAAAGGGCACTCAAGAAATCGCAAATGATGAACAAGTTTTCAAAGTCAAATCAACAATGCAATGAAAAGATGCAATCCTAAACAATTCTAACAAATATGAATGCAAAAAGATGAAAATATTTTTGGATTTTTTTGAAAATTTTATGATTTTTTTTGGTTTTTCTATGCAAAAGATGAATGAAAAACTAAGAACAAAGAAAACAAGGTTAAATCATCTCTTGAACCCTCCCCCAAACTTAAATCACACAGTCCCTTGTGTGAGAGAAATTTAGTGAAAGATTCAAGAGGCAAAACCAAGAAAAAAAAAAAGAAAATATGAAATGGTATGTACAAGGGTTGGTGTTTGATACCTCAGTGCCCCCCAAAGAACTGGGAGGCAAGGTCGTGGTCTGGAGAGGGCAGACGGCCATCAGGAGCACTCCACTCGACACTCATGCTCGCTCGATCGAGCTTGCGGCTCCTCTTCTTCTTCCTCGAAGTGTGTGTGGCTCCCTTGGCCTTGGTGGAGCTGGCTGCTCGAACTGTTGTATGGGTTCCATCTGCTCTGGGAAGTCCTGGTAAGGTGCTGGATCGTACTCGAATCCAGGGTTCTCGAAAAGGCTCCTCAGGTCAACTCGACCTCAGCTCGACCGAGTTGAGTTTCCTCTGTTTGGACTCGATCGAGTCCACTGGTCGAGTTGGAGCGTCGGCCTTGGAACTCTTCCTCCTCCTCTGCGTGTTGTCTCCTTCTTCCCTTGGTTCAAATGAGAGGCTCTGTGAGGCTCTTGGGCAGGGAGCCTCCTTGGGTGGTGAGAAGGATCTACTCCTAGGGAATGTAGGGGCCATGGGTGTCTTCTTCTTCTTGGATGAAGAACCAGAGACCTTCTTCTCCAAACTCTTGATCTTGCTCACCATCTTGTCCATGGACTTTTGCATTTTCTCATGCCACTTGTTGAACTTTTGGAGAAGTCCAATCCTCTTGTGAGCAGCCACAACAGAGGGGTTCATCCTTGGAGCCTCATACTCCTCAAAGTAATAGCACTCAGGCTCACCCAAATCCTCATTCACTTGGCTCGATCCTCAGCTCGATCCTCAGCTCGATCGAGTTCAGGCTCCTCTTCTCGCAAATCATCCTCATGCCCAACTAATGTGTACAAGGGGGTCTGAAGTCAATGTTGTTCCTCTACAACTGTGGTGAGCTCAGGGTTGGGCAGAGAAGCTTGGAAGGGCCAGCCAATGGGGTGTGTGAACTTGAATTGGAACCTCCCATTCAACTCCTTGTGTTCAATGAGGAGGTTGGTCTTGCAAAACTTGATGTCCATCCACCTGGCTCAGTGCCTTCTCTCAGTTGGGTATGCCAGCAGCACACAAGATAGGTGTGATGATCCCTCCAACACTTAGCTTCTTCCTTGTTGAAATCGAGTGTTTATAGGCGTGGTCTTGTAGGAGGAGTAATCAAGGAGAGGCATGAGTTTCCTGCGTGTGATCTGTCTCCTCTGATCTCTTCCCATCCTTGTGCGTGAGATGATGGGCTTGATTCCCATGTCAAGGAGCTTGACTTCTCCTTCATTGATTGTCCCAGTGCCTTCCTTGCAAAGAAGGTGTTGGCAAGGCCTTGTGCACATATCTCAGCACTGGACTCCTGATTGAGCAGCCTTGGACCTTGAGGAAGAGTACTCCTTCAGCGATTGTAGCCCAAACCTTTGGAGCTCATTTCCTTGATATCCCAATGGTTCCCTTCTCCATAGTTGAACCAAACAAGATCTCCAAGCTGCCTGAAGGTGACCATCTCTTTCTCCTTGCCAAGAACGTGATCCATCCCCAACCTTGATCCAACTCAGCTCGATCGAGCTCATCATACTGTGGTACCTCATCGATGCCAAGAACTCACAAGTGAGCTCCTTGTATGACTCCATGCGATGAGAGAAGAACTTGGCCAAGTGCATGTTCTTGAGACAACTCCACATCCTCAAAGATCCCAAGAGCCTTCATTGTGTCATGTGGGTACTTGGTTTCCACAAAATCCATGGAGAAGAGAGCATTGTAGTGCTCTTGGTACATGGGGAGTTCATCCTCTCTTCTTGTGGCTCAGCCTCCTCCATGGGCACATTCATCATTACTCTCATGCCACTTTCATCAACCTCTTGATTGACCTCTCTCCTTCTTCACTTCAGAGTCATCACTCTCTCTCCAATGTTCACCCCAATCTCAAACTCTCCCTTCTCTCACTGCTATGGGTCATTCCTCTTCTTGGTCCTTCTCTCTTCCCTCAACCTCTCAATCTCTTCCACATCTCCTTGCTCATTCCCTTAAGCATTCTCCTTGCTCCTCTCGTTATCTCCTCCTTTCCAATTGCATTGCCTTGCTTCCTTCACCTCTCAACATCTTAAACTTGTTGCTTCTTCAAAGTTGGTTCCTGAAATTCATCAAAAACCAAAGAATTAGATTGTTGATCGATTCGGTCAACTCGACACCCAGCTCGATCGAGTCAAAAAACTCGAGTGACAAACTCGATCGAGCTAGTGAAAACAGAGTAAAACCGAATCTAAATCAAGTATTAAGAGCTGGATAGGATGCTAAACAATCAAATCAAACCAAGAACATCAAGAACTTGGAACAATAAGCAATTCTAGTGAAGATTAAAGCATCCTAGCCAATACCAAACTCAAATTCAAGGTTTTAAGCACATGCAACAATTTTAATGGCAAAACAGAGGTGAGGTGAGGCAATTCACAAATTTATAAAGCAGAGAAAATATGAAGCAATTATTCAAGAACAAGTCCACAAGGGACACATGCAATCAAAATTCAAGAGAAAAATGCAATAAGAGAGAGAGGAATCAACTTAGACTTGAGGGTTTAGGGTTCATACCTTGCTTGGATGATGTTGATCTAGAACAGTAGCTAGAACTAAAGCAATTAAGAGATGAGAACAAGGAAATCGCAAAAACTCAAGGATGAGAGATTTTCGGATTTTCTTAGAGAGGGAGAGAGATGGATGATTTCAGAAAATTTTGAGTGTGGGAGAGAGAGAGGGGTGTGCGATCGAGTTATGGGGAAAAGGGAGTGTTTGAGATGTGTGGTTGAGGATTAAAAGAGGTTTAAAGAGGGGACAAAAGCTAGGGTTTTTCTGATCGATTTTGGGAAGTGGGGGACCAAAATTTAATGTGGGACCCACTCCCTTGACCAAGGAAACGGTTAAAATTTGAAATTTCAAAAATTTACCTTCCTCGGTCGAGTTGTGGAACTCGATCGAGTTACCCTTGTTTCTAGCTCGATCGAGCTGTCGGTCGAGCTGGCTTCTTGTCACCTAAACTTAACTTTGAAAGGTTAAAGACACAAAAACTAGATAGAAATTGCATAAAGATATGTACAAGGATAGTCATGGGACTTCCTCCCAAGTGAGCTTTTTTAAGGTCCCATAGCTTGACCTTTACCTCTTAGGCATTGGTTGAGCTAGTCCCACCATCAAGGGTGATAGTGAGGACTTGAGACAGAAGCTCCTTTAGCTTGGTTGGATCCCTGGACTGCTCTGAAGTGACCAAGGCCTTGGCTCTAGAGAATGGTCTTGATCTCCCTTTGTACCTTATCTTGTACTCAATCTTTCCATTTTCAAACTTGGTGGGGAACAAGGTCATAGTGAGCTGAGATGGCTTGGCTGAGGAAACCTGAGCTGGTGGGTTCTTTCTTTTCTCTCCCACAAGTGCCTTTGAGGCTGCATCCTCCCCTTCTTTTGAGCGCTTCCTAGTGGCTCATCAAACAAAGCTTGGAGGCTTTCCTCATCAAGGACACATGGTGCTTGAACAAGTCTATCAGCTCGTGGCCTATCAGATCGTGGTCTCTCAACTCTGGCCTCTCAAGGCGTGGTTTCTCAATCCTTGGTCCTTATCAACTCTTTGTCCTTCTCAACCTTATCTCTCACAACTCTTGGCTCTTTGTCAACCTTTTCCTTCACAACCTTTGCAACTTCATGAGTCTTGGAACTGAGAGGAGTGCTTTCAATTGTGGCACAAAAGTCTGATCCTCTAGGCTGCAAGCGATAAGACACCAAACTATTCACCTTGTGAAGAATCACTTCTTGCTTGTGAAAGTCTATTGAAGCGCCAACTGTGCTAAGGAATGGGGTTCCCAATAGCAGAGGTAGATCCTTCTCTTCTTCCATCTCCATGACAGTGAGATCAGTTTGGATGATGCATTCTCCTATTTTCAAGTGATAGTTCTTGAACACACCAAGAGGAGACTTAGAAGTTGCATCTCCAAACATGATTGAAGTAGTAGGGCGCTGCAATGCTCCAGCAATGCCAAGCTTTTCTGCCATTGTGAGAGGAGATCAGGTTGATGCTTGCACCAGAATCCACCAAGGCATTGTCAAGCTCAATATGCCCAAGTGTGCAAGGGAGAGTGAATTTCCCTTGATCCTTCACCTTTGGTAAGAAAGTAGGTGAGGTAAGCAGGTTGATTTGGTGAGTAGACACCTCCATAACATCTTTAATCATCTTCATTTGCTCAAATGCCTCACTCATGCTTTCCATAGAAGGCAACTCAACTCCAATCTCACTGAGGTCTCTTCTGAACTTGTGAATCACTTCCTTATGGCCTTGACTGAGTAGGCGAGACTGAGGATGGTCAACTGGCTGGTAAGGATCAAGCAAAATCGGTTTGAGGACTGATGTCTGACTCGATCGAGCTAGGTCGACTCGATCGAGCTGCCGATCGAGCTTGTTGTGCGAGCTCAACTGGTGAAGTGTGAATGGCTAGTAGTAGCTTGCACTTCAGGTTGATCAATCTGGACTCCAGGAGCCTCAGCAGCAACAATGTCGTCGTCATTCAGCAGCAAACAAACTCTTCCATGACTCTCTCTTGATCCTCTTCTTCATCAAGACCTTCTTGAGTGAAGATGACCTTGCACTGTTCCTTGGGGTTCTGAATAGCTTTACCAGGTAGTTGTCCTTGCTTTGTAGCAGCAGCACAGAAGAAGCATGATTCTCCAGAGAGTACACTCTTGTGTTGAGATTCTCAATCTTGGAGTTGATTTCAGCAACTTCTTGCTTGTGTCCACAACACCATCAGCTTGCCCTTGAAGCAATTGTTTCAGCATAGCCTTGAGCTCATGCTCAGGTGTAGGTGCAGGCTGGGGTGGTTGGTGGGGAAAGCCAGGTGGTATGTGCATTTGCTGACCAGGAAAAGTCCCTTGAGGGCCTTGGTAGTTGTTTTTGACCATACCCATGTTGTGGGCTTGACTCGATCGAGCTTGCTGTTGTTGAGGGTAAACCTGGTCCTGAGGGTTAGCAACATCAGTGTTTCTGTATGACATGGCTGGGTTGGACTTGTAATTATAGTATCCTTTGTTGTAACCTCCTTGCCCATTGCTCATGTAACACACTTCAGCAAATTGTGTATCCTCCCCTTCTTGGACTGGTTCCATCTCTTCAGCAGACACAAAATTGACTTCTTCATTGTGGACTGAGCTAAGATAAGCTTATCCAACTTCTCATTCAACGATTTGACATCTTTTCTCAATTTCTCATCGGACTCGATCGAGTGGTGGGTCGAGCTCCGTTGGTGCGATCATACTCTTCTCCATAGCTTCCATTGGAGTTTGCAATGTTTTCCACAAGCTGCCAGCCATCATCCACATCCTGATTGAGGAAGTTCCATTGCTGGCTGTGTCCAACATCTCTCTATACCTTGCCAAGCAACCTCTATATAGAGAGTAGAGAGCAATGACTCATTGTTGAATCCATGATGTGGGCACTGACTTGTGTAGCCCTTGAACCTCTCCCAAGCCTCAGCAAAAGTCTCATTGTTCCTCTGATGAAGCTGATATCTCACTCCTTAGCTTGGCTGTGCGACCGGTGGAGAAAAACTTAGCAAGAAAGGCCTTCTTGCATTCATCCCAAGTGGTGATTGTGCCATGGGGCAAGCTCTTCTCCCATTGGTGAGCTTTGTCAGCAAGAGACATAGGAAAGAGTCTCAGCTTGATGGCATCTTCAGAGACACCATTGATCTTTGTCAAATCACAAAGCCTATCAAACTCATCAAGGTGGTCAATGGGGTCTTCACTTGGCAATCCATGGAACATCTTGTTCTGAACAAGGTTGATCATTCCCAGCTTGATCTCAAAGTTGTGGTTCTGCACTGGTGGTGGAACAATCCCTTGTCTCTGTTGATGGCGGTTTGGAGCATCTCCTAGACCAATCGGTCGAGTTTGCCTAGCTCGACCGAGTCCATTGCCCAAAGGGTTTCCATTCCCCTCTGGTACATCCATTGTATCAGTAACAAGCACCTCAGGTTCCTCTTGTACCCTCTGAGTTCTCTGAACTCTTTCTACCCGTGTGAAAGTCTAGCTCGACCAAGTCTTCTGTTGACCGACTCGATCGAGTTCGCATACACCTGCAAAAAGAACAAAAACCCAGCAATACAAAGAACAGGGGTGGGATAGCTTGATCGTCCAAGTGTATTGAAACTCAAATGCAACAAAATTCAACCCAAATGGCAACGGCGCCAAATTGATGATAGGATTTGTGTGTGTGTGAATGATATGAAATGATATGAGGTGGAATGCAACAGTGGTAAATGAAGATGAGATGGTATGGTGCAATCACAATCAATCAATTCCCCTTAACCATCATAGTCATTGAAGTATAAGGGTATCAATCCAAAAGGGTGAAATTGTTCTCTATGAGAATATGCAAACACAAGAAAGTCAAGCAACAGTAAATAGATGGGAAGTAACACTAACAACCTAATAAATGAAATGCATGCATAAAGTAAAGAAAGCAGTAAAGCAAGCAGCTCGACCAAGGACTCGAGTCGAGTGGGAACAGAGTAACCAAGCTCGATCGAGTTGAGGGTCGAGTTGAAGTAAAAAGCGATAAAGGCAGAACTTTAACAAGCTAATGCGAATATTAGGGTCTAAGACAGGGTTTACAATAGGGGAAGACTATACTTAATCAATCTTGCTCTTAACAACTTGTATCAAGGTATCTCTTGATATTGAGCTTCTCAATGCCTAGCTAACCCTTTCCCAAGGTGAAAGCTATCAACCAAGGCAATGATCTCAGAAACAGGGGGTTAGCCAGTGAGAATCAAGCCTTGGAGGCATAGGATCATTGCTCAAACTAATCCATCCAACACCTATGAACTCCATTTCGAGAGCAAGGTTTATTGGAGCTCTTAGTGGACCTTTTCCAAGCGATTTCCATCACTTCCATGTGGAAAATCGCCTATGACATACAAGCCAGGGGTAGTGGTCATGTAGCCTTAAGGTTTGTCCAAAAGAGAGAGATTTCTAGATTAAGAACATAAGCAAGAAGATTAAGCATAAATCCCCTAATCTCACTACATGAAGGTAAACACAATCAAATGCAATGAAATGACATAAATGAAAGAGGAGATGAAATAAACAACTTTTATTGAAATAAGCAAGTGCAAATACAAAGAAATAGCCAGATCTAAGGTTCAAGAGCAAGAAGCTCAAGAACACAAAGAGGATTAGGGTTGCAAAAAGTAAATACAAAATTAAAGAAAAGCTAAAACAAAAATAAGCTAAAGATTGTTGTCTTTTTCGTGGCTTAGAGCCTTTAAATACAAAGAGATTAGGTTTAGGGTCAAAGGGAAGTCAAGGGGGAAGCAACATTTTTCGGGTTTGACTGTTGACTTCTCAGCTCGATCGAGTTGAAGCTTGGCCGGTCGAGTAGGTGGTCGAGCTGACTTCAAGATGACTTCCTCCTTCTTCCTTTGCGTGTCCAGTTGAGCTGCGTCCATGCACCAAGTCCTTCCTTGCTCCTCACGTCCCAAATGCTCCAAAGTGCTCCAAAAGACCTATTTCAAGGACCAAACATGCATATGTATGCAAATGCAACCTAAAACTACTATGAATGCAAGAAGGGAAAAGGAACAAGATATGATGCTAATGGATGCTAAAACTATGCAAAAGATGCATAAAAGATGTACTAAAACTATGTAAAATGCAAGTACATCACTCCACTCTTCACCGACTTTGTATGTCCCATGTTTGCCTCTGCAGCTTCTATCTGTGGCAAGAGGTAAGTGTCTATGTGTTAGAACGCTAAACAGATATGTGAGAAGGAAGAAGAGATCGGAGCAAGAAAATTCTGATGACGGGGACTCTGCTCTAGTCTATATATATAAAGTTTATATCATTCTATTCTGGTGTTGCCACGTCATTTCGGAGTGTGTTTAGAATTGCGACACGTCAGCGCAGACAATTTCATTTATTATATTTTTTTTTTAACTATCATAATAATTATCATTTATTAATAAGCTTAACAAGAATATGAAAAGTCATTTAAAAAAGAAGAAAGGTTATATATAAATCACAAAAACTATTATTTGATGTTAAGATGTTATAGAAAAAACATTTTTAAATATTTTGAGACGAACTAAGACGAGACCAGACAGAACGAGACGGAAAAAAACAGAATGCGAGAAGAAGGGGATTTTGCCTACTTCTTTTTATTTTAAGTGACGAGACAAGATGTAAAGGAACGGAAAGAAGCGGGATAGGACAAGACGGATTGCCTAGCCTTAATTATATTTAGGGACATAACGGGAAGAAACAAAATGAACATGAAGAGACAGGACAAGACGGAAAGGAACGGAATGGGATATGATGAGATTGGACGGGACGAAATGGACATGTTGGAAAAGACAGGATGAAAAGAAACGGAATGAGACGAGATTAAACGGGAAATGATGGGACACGAAGGGACAAGACAGGACATTCGCATACCCCTAATAATATTTAGGGACAAGACGAAGACGAAAAAAAAAACAGAAAAGAACAAAATAGGATAGGATGAGACTAGATTGTTGAATTGATTTATGAATTGGTTATTTATTTATTGAATTTATTTTAAAAAAACTTCTGTTGAATTGATATTGATTTAATTTTTTTTTTTTAAAAGCTTGGTTGCTTCAAAGATAGCGAAGATTAAAATTTAAATTGGCCCCAAATTTTTTGTAAATATTTAAAAATGTGGTGCTGGTGAGAGAGAGAGAGAGAGAGAGATATTAAAGATTAGAGATGTATGGATAGTGAGAAGAGTGTGGGGATTTTATAGCAGACAACCATGTTTAAGAATGTCCTAAGAAAATTTTAAAAGAAAAAAAATTGAAAATTAAAACAAATAATATCTTGTAATTCCATCAAATTGGGTTGTATTACCAAAAAACAAATGGGAAACAAATCTAATAAAACCAATGGAAAGAATGTTTATCTGGTAGACTTTTGTTTAGTCATACATACCGTTTGAAAAAATATATAATGCACAAGTGGCATGTATGACTAAACAAAAGCCTACCACATAAAGATTATTGCCATTGGTTTTGTTAGATTTGTTTCCATTTATTTTTTTGGTAATAGAACCCAATTTTATGGAATTACAAGATGTTATTTGTTTTAATTTTCAAATTTTTTTACTTTTAAAAATATTTGAAGACACTCATATACATGACTGTCTACTATAAAATCCCAACACTCTCCTCTCTATCCATGAATATATATATCCATACATATCTAATCTCTCTCTCTCATTATTTTGTACCCATGAATAATTCTTCTAACCATGTAAGATAATACCAATACAAAATATCAGACCTCTAGTATATATATATATATATAAAAGAAGAAGAAAAATAATAAGAGAAACAATGATCAATAAATTTAAAATCTGGAAAAATCATATATACCAATACTAAGTGAGATATTCATAAAACAG